TTATAAACAATTGTCTTGTAAATGGAATTTTAAAGCATTCTGAATGTAAAAATAAAAAAAAAAAGTGTGCAAGATAATAAGAAACACTACCTGCCCAAAAAAAGTGAAGTTTTGTTGAAATCAGTTGAAAAATGTAGGAAATCCGATCCCATATATAAAGGAACACACATACACACTCACAAACAACCTGGGTTTTATAATAGGTATAACTCAATATGAGTTGTCCCCCTTTCATTCTCATGATGCCTCTTAATCGTGTTTTCAACTGATTTCATGCAAAAACAATTGTGTTTTTCCAATTTTTGGCGCTGTTAGAACCACTGCAAGGTAATTTTACGTAGTCCTGTGAAGTTTTGTTGAAATCAGTTGAAAAATGTAGGAAATCCGATCCAATATATAAATGTACAGACACACACACACACAATCTGCGTTTTATAATAAGTAAGATTTCTAATATATATCAGGAACACCAGAGCACATGTGGTAACAATATTCAAAGCATGGAGGAATGGTGGATGTGATGTATTGGGGGAGGATGAAATGGATATATTCAATCGCATTGAATAAACAAGGAACACGCGGTGGACATGTTGGATTTTTATTATGTAAGTGATAAAGGGGAATAATATAGGGTAAACAGAAATGATGCTAGGGGATGTAAACTTCCCGTTTTTGTGTGTATCTCACAGTAGACTTATAAATCTGTAAGATAGATTCTGGTAAGAATAAATGTCTAGTGAACCAACTTTCTTAGCTGCACACTTAGCAATTGATTCAATATAATCTTTTCACTTCATGTCAGCTCAAAATCTTGATGAAGCATAGAAAACAAATCCATCAGTGTCACAAATAGAGAAGAGACTTGAAGCAACAGAAATGTGTTTCTAACAAGGATAGTGAAAATACCAAACATATCAGCAACAATCAAGTTTCAAAGAAAATGGAAGCAAAAAGTAGACTTATGCCTAGAATCAGAAAGTGACAGTTGAAATTTCTAGGACACATAATGAGGGCTTGAAGAAATTGTCACTCACAGGACAAGAGGTAAGCCTGACAAGAGAAATCAGTGAAGTCATTAGTTCCTTTCTAAGCTGATGACAGAAGTACTTACTTCTGATAGGTTAGATAAGATCAAATCAGCAGCTGATCTTGAAAATGATCTTCAATCTGTTGTTAACTGGGGCAAGAAATGGCTTGTTAGTTTTAACACCTCCAAAATCAATAGGAGTTTGATTTTGGAGGTGTTAAAATTAATAAATCATTTTAAAGAACATTTTCACCTACCATCAGCATGTCTGATGCTAACATCCAAGAGAGCAAGCTACTGTGCATTCTAGGCTGGCATCTCGCTCTCACCCTTTCACTGTCGAAACTGTTAAATGTAGCTGTCTCTTCTACTCCAATAGTTTCATGGCTTGCACTTCTCGCCTGTGGAACTCCCTCTCCTTTTCCTGTTTCACTGATAGCTATAATCTCCAACTATTCAAATGTAATGTCAATCGACGTCTCCAGATGCCTTGATCTAGCCACTATTCTTCTCTTCAGCCTTTTCTCTGTCATTCCTATTTGCTCTCACTCCAACTCTCTGTAACCCTTTGCATGCCAGTGGCTTCCTGCCTTACTTGGAGTGAAATGCTTAAAAAAAATATATAAAGTAGAGAATCAATTCTTTATTACAATCATTATATAAAATGATCCCTCACATTTTGGTCACTGTAGTTCCTATATATTTATATTCCAGAGAATGTAAATAACTCTAAAAGAAAAGCCTGATATAGGTAATGTAGCTAATCAGTATTTCTTTGATTTGTTTTTTATGGCTTATCAACCCTTTGCATGTTATTTAAAGCCAGAAAATATTTTTAGATTGTAAGAAGTTATTTGGAAATAATAATGATTTTAGTGATACAAGTCTTACTAATTAACCTATAGCTGGTGGGGTGGATTCATACCTTTTGTATAGTTTTACATATAAACGAATATAATGAACCCAACTGGAATTGGAACTCAGTTCTCCAATTAACAATTCCAAAGCATTATCCATTATACATCTGCACATCAAACTTACAGCAGCAGATATTTCAAAGTGGTCACTCATTTAGGTACTGACTAGGTACTGAAATTGCTTACTTTTGGTGATTGTATGTGAACTGGTGTTTAAATGTGATATAGCTATAAGCTCTATTTGTGAGGAGCTTGTCCAGCATTTGCTGTTATATAGAATGACTGATATTACATAAAATTCTAGTATTGTTTTCTTTGTTTTTCCTGTTTCTTAATAGTTTACTCAACTTTTGGGAGGCATCTTTCATTTTTAAGGTTATCTTGGCCCTGTAGAATAACAATAGAACAACAACATTTACTGGTGTAAGGGTCCCAGCTAGCATCCAGCTGGCAGACAAAAATAAAGCAGGTTGTAACTCAATACAAACCCCGCAAACTGATTGGAATCAAGCTGGTATTTATACAGAAATACCTCCACTCATGTACCAGCAGACAGTCACTGCCAAAGCAATGGACTATTCCACTTGAGCACAATGAGATGCTCCATGGCATCATAAATAGCTCTCTTTCTCAAGGTGGAGTAGGCTTTGCTCAGCTTGTTCCATAACTGAGTGTTTGTCTTGACAATGTGATTGTTCTACAGACCTCCAATCACTGCTAATTTCTGATAGCTTTTGAAAAGGCCTTTTACATCACTCTAATGGTATTTCTGTCCAATCTTCTATACTGAATCCTTCCAAATCATGCAGATTCGAATGGCTTCCATTCAGGGATAGCAATTTCCATATTCATGCTACAAATGTCGGAATTTGATTGAGAAAGTCATTCTGTTACCATAAGCTTATTCTTCTTAAATCCTTCCTCCGAAGTGGATTTTGAAGAATAATTTGGATCATTGTCTTGTTGCAAGATGAATTGTTTATCAAGTCTAAGCTGGACAAGAAAAGATAAAGAATGTACCAGAGAGTACCAGATTCTTTCTGCTACGGTTTATCAGATTAGACCAAAAAATGAAGTATTACTGCCATCTTTGGGCTAGAGCTGCTCAATTCTCACTTTCTAGACTTGAAATAGTTTAAAATCATTTACACAGGGATGACATATTTCCACTCTGCAGCCACTTTCCTCACAGACACAATGCTACAAGTCTATCACGACTCCACTGCTATTACCATTTCAAATGTTCAAATGAGGTCCCTCTCTTTAGTTCCAACCATTCAGACATTTTTTTAATCATTTATCTGTACATTATCTATCTCACTCTGTTCATTTATATATCTATTTTTCTTGGTCTGTCCATATCTATCTATCTATTTATCTATCTGTCTATCTCAGTCTGTCCATATCTATCTATCTATCTATCTATCTATCTATCTATCTATCTATCTATCTATCTATGTCTGTCCATATCTATCTATCTATCTATCTATCACAGTTTGTCCATACCTATCTATCTGTCTTGGTCTGTCCCTATCTATCTATCTATCTATCTATCTATCTCGGTCTGTCCATATCTATCTATTTATCTATCTATCTATCTCAGTCTGTCCATATCTATCTATCTATCTATCTCAGTCTGTCCATATATCTATCTATCTATCTATCTATCTATCTATATCTATCTATCTATCTCAGTCTGTCCATATCTATCTATCTATCTATCTATCTATCTCAGTCTGTCCATATCTATCTATCTATCTATCTATCTATCTATCTATCTATCTATCACAGTTTGTCCATACCTATCTATCTGTCTTGGTCTGTCCCTATCTATCTATCTATCTATCTATCTATCTATCTATCTATCTATCTATCTCGGTCTGTCCATATCTATCTACCACAGTCTGTCCATACCTGTCTATCTCAGTCTGTCCATACCTATCTATCTATCTTGGCCTATCTATCTATTCATATCTATTTATCTATCTGTCTCACTCAGTTTTCCATATCTATTTATCTATCTATCTAAAGTAATAAGAGATTAGCATAATAAGAAATAATGTTATATTAAAAATAAAATCCATTAATTCCAGAGAAATTACTTGAAATTTTGGATACAAAAATGAAATGTGAACTTTCAAGAAAATCTGAAGACGAGAAATATGGGTATTTCTTAAAAGGGCAATTGAACCTTTCTGGGCAGTGAAGCTTACTGTGGTCAAGCGGTCTCTAAATACACCAAATCAGACAAAAGAGAGGTATAGTTACCCAAACCCAGCTGGAAGACACATTTCCTTTATTAAGACTCCCGAATATGCTGGCCCATAATAAAAGCAAGGTGTCTACTCAAACATGTGTAGCCACTAAAATATAATGTTTACGTAATAAGAAATTAGGTATGTATGTGTAGGGGTAGCATATTTATATGTCAGATTTAGTACTATCCAGTTTCTTTTATCTGTTGGAGGATCTTAGGACATACAGCCTGTGTATAAGGAGGGTTGACTGATTGATTGATTCATTTTCTACAGCTTATCAACCCTTTGCAGGTTATTTAAAGCCAGAAAATATTTGTAGATTGTACGAATATTTTTTTAGAGATAATAATGATTTAATGATACTGAGAGCCGAGTTCAAATTCCAGTTGAGTTCATCACATTCACTTACGTGGCAATACTTTTTGGAAAGGTATGAATTCAACTCTTCTCCTCTCCAACTATGGGTAAATAGCTGGACTGATTGGGTTCTGTAGCCTTGGATGGCAACTGATCTAGGAGAAGGAAAACTCTGAATTCAAAATTGTATGTAGCCTTGGTGAAGCACATACTATACAGCTAAGGAAATAATCATTCACATTGACTCAATGATCCCAGCTACAGTCGATGTTTAATACAAGTCTTACTAATTAACCCATAGATGTGGGAGAACGTAGATTCATACCTTATTCCAAGGCTATTTGTATGTAAGTGAATATACTGAACCTAACTGAAATTGAAACTCGGCTCTCTGATTAACAATTCTGAGCCATTATTCATTACACCACACGTACATCCAAGCTTACAGCACCTGGTATTCCTGAGTGGTCACCCATCTAGGTGATGACCAGGCCCGATGTTGCTTAACTTTGGAGATCATATGGAAACCAGTGTTTCAATGCTATATGGCTGTAAGCCCATAAGGCATGATTACTGTACATCTTGTCTATCTTACATTAGTCAGTAATTTTTTTTTTTTTTTAAATTTTGGCTTCTACTTTTTTTCAACTGCAGACATCTTTGCTGCCTTCATCAGCAATTTAAAATCATAATCACTCAATATAACAAAACTAACAAACCTGTTCAGCTTCCATATATTTATGAACTCAAGCTTTCCGGTGTTTTCCTTTTCGTCTGCCTCTCTACCATCGATTATCTTGATTTCTCTTCTTTTATTGTCTATGCATTCTCATGTTTCTCTTTTTCCTTATTCTTTCACACTTGATAACCCCTTGTGTCTTAGTGGCTTCACTGCCTTTCTTGGGGTGAAATGAGTAAATATAAAAAAAAAAATCTGCTGCTTACATATTTATAAATCTACTGTTTATCCATGCTTTGAATATTGCCGCCACATATGGTCTGGTGCTCCTGCTGTATATTTAGAGATTCTTGATAAAGTTCAAACAAAAATTGACAATATTGTAGCTCATGACCTGATGTTGTGGCTTCAGTCATTGTCTTACTGCCTGTGGCGAATAAAGAAAACAGCAACCAACGAGTAAATTCAAGCTCTCCCAGCTGGTATTTCAACCTTGAGTCGTTCCTTCTTGAGTTCTGTCTCAAAATCGCACTAACATACTTTTTTAGCCGTCAACCGTCAACGTCACTCGAAGAACTCCTCGCACTGGGAAAAAGTAGTTGCTTTTATATTTGTCCATATACCCATAATCCCTTGCATCTTCATGTGATTCCATAATTCATTGCGTCCATGTCCCATAATGCATTGCATCTTTATTGCATAAAAATACAATGCAAGTCCCCCCATCATTCTTTTATGTTATCTGGCCGAGGACGGATTACGGCAGAGCAGTAAGTGCTTTTTTCCTCCCTCATTTCAACTGCAGTAGCTTTACATGCTAAGCAAATACGGGCTCTTTTTTGGCGGGGACAAGGCAAGTCGCGACCAGTTGTGCTCGTCCCAGGTTCTGTCTCATGTCTGCCACACAGCCATAATGTAGCTTTCCTGAGCCTTTCCAAAATACTTTCATGTTAATTGTTCTGAGGAACTTTTTAATATGAAACCTAGACTTTATGAATTTAAGGGTAGTATTAGACTGGCAACAAGGTCTCATCAATTTACAGTTGAATTGACTAGATGCAACCATAAATTTTATGCTAACAGTTTCATTTCTCACACTTCTCATTTGTCCAGTCAACTTTGATCTTCAACTATTTAAATGCAATGTCAATCGTTACCAACTGACTTTTTGATTCTTCTTCTTTTTATTGTTCTAACTCTTTAATAATGTTTCTCTTTTTTCTTATTCTTTCATACTCAGTAACCACTTACATCTTGGTAGCTTTATTAACTTCCTTGGGGTGAAATGATCTGCAGCTTGCTTACTGCAGAAAAAAAAAAAGAATGTCTTAATACTTTGTTTCTTCTGAATAAACCACCTAAAATGCATCTTATAACAATTTTGGAATCAAGGTGTGATAGAAGAGACATGCAAGAATGATTTATTCTCCCATTTACATTTCCCCTATTATGGGCATTATTATATCCATGATATAATAACACCATATTTCATGGACAGAACAGAGTGGGTGAAAGAAAAAAGAATTATAAACATAGCTTTGTTTTCAGAGAGACTTTTATACCTCTAACACATGTCCCATGCAGAGAATAATATATCACACATATATGCATAGTGAACAAAGTGTAAGGAGAAACAAGAAGGAAGTATCTTATATATAATATGGAGATTCTTCTGAGTTTCTGGAGAAGCCTTGTTTAGTACTCCAAGTTCAAACAGGCTGGATTCATCTACTGTCTCTCAGGCAAAGACATATTGCAAAAACAGGAAACAGTGAGTCTTGGTTTTTCGCAAATTGAGGACTGCGGAATTTCTTTTTATATCTGGGAAAGATATCTTCCCAAAAGAAAACTGCACCATGTATTTGTAAACTGTAATGTTTGCAGGAGGAGGCAGATTTAACTTCAGCCTGGGCCTTTTGGTCCAGGTTAAAAAAAAATAAGTGCTCAGTTTGGCTGCTGTAAACAAACTGAATGACTGGCCACTTTTGTCACTGTATGAAGTGATGTCACTAAGTATATGTCATGTGACATACGTTAACTTAGCCCCATCAAAGGGAGATAATCGACTTTTGTATCCCTACAAGTTAATGACATTCTGAAATATAATGTAAAGAGCACATGGGTGAAAAGTGACTGAGAGATAAAACATTATTGATAGAGAACCCTTTAAAGACAACAGCAGCGATGAGGTAAGCAAACTTTTCTTTCACAGGGCCATTGTGGCAATTAAGCTGTCACACTTTGTATGTAAGCATCTTGACATTCCAAATGCAAATTTCTTATTCTTTTTCACTCCATAGCCCCTTGTGTCTTAATGGCTTTACTGCCTTGCTTGGGGTAAAATGATTAAAAAAAAAAGAAAAAAAAAGATCCACTGCTTGCTTATGGCAGAAAAAGGGAATGCTTGAATACTTAGTTTCTTCTAAAATTCTACAGCATAACTTATAACAATTTTGGCATCAGGGAATGACATTCTGAAATATTGTGTAAAAATATTGTGTAAAGAGTGCATACACCAATGCACTCTTTATGTGATATTTTAGAATGCAAATACACTGTTCTTGTCATTTATGAAAAACATTAAATTATAGACTATATATATTTATTTTCATGAGTTAAATTCTATTACTGAAAATAAATGGTGTCTGTAAATTGTGTGAATAAACTTTTATGAAATCTGGTTTTTCATTGATGTCATTCTTTTTGTTTTGTGGTTTCTAAAACATTTCATTCAGTCCATCCAACAGAAACCTGCATTTGCAAAATTGTTGTGGAGTTATTTCGCAGTGGAGGCTTGTATTTTTACTAAAATCAGTCCTAAATAGTTCAACGTACAAAACGTTAGGAACTTGATATAATAGGCATTATGCAGAGTAATCTTGATGTGGTCGCTGACTACTTTCATATTCGACTAACTGTCGACTACTGTCGTCCAACATCGACTGACCCTCTTTTCTCTTACTACTCCTACTTATATTAGGTGGGAGAGTCTATTAACTATAGAATAGGTGTGTTTCACCATAACAAAAATTCATATGGTACTAGCAGGATTTCCAATTTTGATTTGCTTAACTTTAAAAAAAGTGAACCTTATTTTCTTTTTATACATATTATAAACCTGAGGAAGGTCATAGAATGGCTTAGTGGAAACACTGACCCAGTCCAACCTGCCACATGGGTGGGTAGTCCGTGTCTAAACTAGCTCCTCCAGTCACTTTTCTGCTGGTGAGGAGGGTGGCATGTCACCTGACAGGTTGTGAAACAAGACCTGTCAAAGGGTGGATGAGCTTTTTATAGGAGTCAATGATCCACACACACACACACACACATATATATATATATATATATATATATATATATATATATAATGTCATCCACAGACAGACTGTTTCGCTGTTTCACAGCTCTTCAGTGTAGCTAGACATCTGGTTGCCTCTAGCTAGGATCGAAACCCCACTGAATTGGCGTCAGTCGGAGATTCTACCACTACCGTCAGTGCACAGCAGGGATGAAGGTGAATTTTAGCATATTTACTTTTAGGTAAACACACAGTGATCGACAGGACTCAATTCGCTTTAGCCGAAGAGTATCACTATATCAGCCATAATAGTCACTGTTATATATATATATATATATATATATATATATATATGATATATATATATATATTATATATATATATATATATATATATATATATATATATATATATATATTGTGTATTTGGCAGCAATCCCTTTTATGAAAGTTTTGTTAAAGATGGCTGACAAGGCACTTCAATTAAGCTTTTTATTTAATTTTTCTTGTGTTCGTACAAGTACGCCTGCAAAAGTTGTAGAACTGATTGATGAAAACATTATTGTAATAATACAAACTATAAAAAAATGAATTCCATATCCCCAAACAGCTGTGCATATTGAATTCTTCCTTGCTGATCACTTCTTTTATGATAATGGCATGAATAACTAAGTGGACCAATTCTTGCATGGAAGTGCTGATAGCATTGACTGCCTGTTAATATTGGTTAATAATGAGATTGATTTTTATCAAGCCTTTTTCTTGCATTTTATTTCTTTCCTCTTCCAGTGGCTTCAAAGTTTTGATTCTGATCATAATGGAACACCACCAGTTCGTACAGTTGTGCTTCAAATGATTTAGGCTAAAGTCTAGTGGCTCCCAGTGTTGTTTTAAGTTGTTTTTTTCTATATTTGAAGAGAGCAATGCCATGGTTTTTCCCACAAAGTGAGCTTGCTGAATAATACTTGAAATAGAATTCTTGACTCTTCCATTTTTGCTACATGTCCTGACCATCAAAGACATTTTTTTTCATGAGCAGCAATTTGATACTTTGTTGACTCTTTCCAGGATTGTTTTGATAATCTACAAAGAATTTGAAACTGAACTCTTGGAATGTTTATGACTCCTCTTAAAATCACAGATAATAAAAAGAATGATGAATCTTTTCTGTTAATTCACCCTAAATATTGTAAAAATAATTATTGCAACATTAAGGTACTCAATTATGGAAATCAATTAGAAATGATTGCAATTTGATAAGTAGCTTTTTTTTTTCATTTTTGGGGAAAAATTTAAATTACCACCACTTTTCACCCCAAGAAATTACAAATTTTAAATCAAAGTTTGTTTTTTTTTTTTTTATTTTTGTTACTCTTGAAATTATAAATTTTAAATCAAAGTTTGTCTCACTTGCCTCACAAGAACAACTCTCAGAATGAGAAATTACCAAAAATCAGGGAGTTATTCACATTTCATAAGTGTGGATGATATTTGAGGTACTTACAAGGATTTTTTTATAATTTAAAAAAAATAGAAAAAAATCTCTTCTTGGCTTGTTTATGAGGTTGAGTGAGAAC